GTTGATGAATGATAGCTGTTGTTGTAGGCAAATTCCACTAACGACAACCACTTCTCCCATTTGGAACCTCTATCCAGAATACAAGCTCTGAGCATATTTCAAGTGTCTGGATCGTCCTTTTTGACTGGCCATCTGTCTCTGGATGATAAGCCGAACTGAAACTCAACTGCGTACCCATTGCTTCATGCAAACTTCCCCAAAATTTACTAGTGAATCTGGGATCTCGATCAGATATGATTGTGACAGGCACTCCATGAAGTCGAATAATTCCACAAGTATAAATTTCTGCTAGCTTGTCCATCGACATAGTCATTGATACAGGCATAAAACGAGCGACTTTCGTCAACCTGTCTACTACTACCCAAATCGCATCATGTTGTTCTGATGACTTAGGTAGCCCTGTAACAAAATCCATGGTAACTTCTTCCCACTTCCATTTAGGAATCTCTATTGGTTGCAACAGGCCTAATGTACTCCGGTGCTCGGCCTTAACTTGTTGACAGACCAAACACTTCTTCACAAAATCTGCTGCATCTCTCTTCATCCCTTTCCACCAAAACGACTTTTTCAAGTCATGATACATTTTGGTGCTTCCAGGGTGAGCTAAATATGGTGCACTATGTGCTTCAGTCAAGATCTCCTTCCGCAAGGCCTCGACTTTTGGCACAACAATCCTTCCTCTGAACTCCAATGCTCCATCGGAACCTTGGTAAAATCCTTCTACTCCTCCTGCTTGAACTTTTTCTTCCATCTTCCGAACAAATTGATCAAAAGATTGCTCCTTCCGAATTCTTTCTCTCAGCATGGGCTGAACTCTCATTGAGTTAACCCTTCCAGTAACCTCCTTAGGAAGTGTCTTGACAACTTCAATCTGCATCCGAGCAAACTCGTTAATAAGTTGATTCTGTTGAGTGATACAACATGCCAATCCACCCTTTACCTTACGGCTTAGGGCATCTGCTACCACGTTCGCCTTCCCTGGATGATATTGGATAGTGCAATCATAATCCTTCACAAGCTCCAACCATCTTCTTTGCCGCATATTGAGCTCCTTCTGAGTGAATATATATTGCAAACTCTTGTGATCAGTGAATATTTCACACTGGCCACCATAGAGATAATTCCTCCAAATCTTGAGTGCGTGCACTACTGCTGCCAACTCTAAATCATGAGTTGGATAATTCTGCTCATGCGGTTTTAATTATCGCGACGCATATGCAACAACTTGACCATCTTGTATGAGTACACATCCAAGACCCCTTTTCGAAGCATCACTATAAATAGTGAAACTTCTAGTAGGATTAGGGATAATCAGCACTGGAGTTGATGTAAGCTTCTTCTTAAGCTCTTGGAAACTCTTCTCACAACGATCAGACCACTCGAACTTCGCAGATTTTCTCGTTAATTTTGTCAAAGGGAGAGCAATCTTTGAAAACCCTTCGATAAATCTACGATAATAACCTGCTAATCCAAGAAAACTTCGAACTTCTGATGGATTCTTCGGTACTGACCAATTCCGAATTGCAGCAATCTTTGCTGGATCCACTTCTACACCTTTCTCAGTGATAATATGGCCTAAGAATGCCACTTTCTTCAGCCATAACTCACACTTAGAGAATTTGGCATACAACTTCTCCTTTCTGAGGGTACCAAGAACTACCCTCAGATGTTGTTCATGCTCTTCTTGACTCTTGGAATAGACCAAAATATCATCAATAAAGACGATGACAAATTGACCTAAATACTTGTGGAATACACGGTTCATCAAATCCATGAATACCGCTGGTGCATTACTTACCCCAAACGGCATCACCACAAACTCGTAGTGACCGTATCTTGTCCGAAACGCAATTTTAGCTATGTCAGATTCCTTAATCTTTAGTTGATGATAGCCTGAGCGTAAATCTATCTTTGAAAATACGCAAGCTCTTCTCAACTGATCAAACAAATCATCTATCCTTGGGAGCGGATATTTATTCTTTATCGTTAACCGGTCTAAATCCCGATAATTGATACACATCCTCATGGAACCATCCTTCTTCTTGACAAACAATACAAGTGCTCCCCAAGGCGAAACGCTTGGTCTAATGAAACCAAGTTTCAACAACTCTTGAATTTGATTTTTTAACTCTTGCAATTCTCTTGGTGCCATCCGATATGGTGCCTTCGACACAGGCGCTGCTCCAGGAACAAGATCGATTGTGAACTCCACTTGCCTGTTGGGTGGTCTTCCTGGTAGTTGGTCCGGGAACATATCCACAAACTCACGAACAATTGGAACATCATGAGGTGTTTGTGCTCTCGAATTTTCGTCAACAATGCTCACCAAATATCCTTGGCAATCCTTCCGTCTTATAGTCTTCCTTGCCTTCGCCATAGAAATCACCCAAGGCAACGTTCGCGTCTTCGAGCCATAGAAAGAAATTTGATCCTTCTCCGAAAGATAAAGAATTACCTCTCTGTCATGACAACGGATATCAGCACGGTAACGTGTTAGCCAATCCATATTGAGTATGAGGTCAAAATCCCTCATCTCGATGACGTACGCGCCGACCTCCAAGATTCTTCCTCCAATATTGAGTCTAAAGTTATCTGCCTTAGAACTCGTCACTATTTTCCGTCCTGAGGCTAAGCTTACCTCAAGAGGGTCAATAGTGTTAATGAATTTAGCTCCTATGATTTCGATACATCGTTTTGACACGAACGAATGCGTCGCTCCCGTATCAAACAATGAAAAAATAGGAATATCGTTCAGAATAATCATCCCAGACATAGTACCTGGGTTCTGTTCTGCCTGAACTTGCTCCACAGCATACACTTGAGCTTGAGGTCCTGCCCTCTGCTGCTGAGGCTGCCCGTGATTCCTCTGCTGTTGCCTATCTGGACATTCCTTGAGATTATGACCAGGCTGTTAGAGGTATGCTGTAAAAGCTGTGTTTTGCAGTTTCTATCAATTCCATTTTGATCTGGCAATCATGTTTCGGTCAAAGTATATATGTTTGCAGTTTATTTATTTA